AAGATATATATTATTATATATAAATGAATAAATAAATAAGTAATGTTTCTGTAGTTGGAAATATTTGGATAACTTCCCCAATGGGGAGTCAGCAGCAACTATTCAGATTAAACCAGATGGGATGCAGTAAGATCAAATAAAACCCACAAAATACCCTTGATCACACCGCACGCTGGACAAAAAGAGATCAGTGCACACAACTCCAAAGTGCAAAATCATAAAATAAAAAATAATAATAAACTAGAAGACCTTTGGATTTGCCCACCTTACAGCAGGGATCCTAATTTAACCGGAAAAGGCAAAACCCTAAGAATCTAACTGTACTATCTGACTGCGCAAAGGCAGATGGGCTTTAACTAACAAAATATGCGCCTTAATCCACACTAACAAAAATGGCTCCGGAGATATTAAACGTCCCGCAGCGATGTGAAGGAAACCTCTCACCGACAGACGGAAATAGGAGTTATAAAACCTCAGCATCATCCGCAGAGCTGTTTAAAAACCAGCCTGGTTCAGATCCTCCTTGGTTCACTTTAACTCAGAAAGAGATCATTTTACGGGGCCGCAACCAGAACGTGAACACCTCCTTATGCTGCTATCCGTTATCTTCGAAGCGAGCAGGAAAAGGGAGAAGCCTCCGCGGTAACTTAATCCTTTCTGAGCTTCGTTAATAACTCTTACCTTGTTTCCACTCTTCTGTCCTCTCAAGGTTCGCAGTTTGTAGCAGGTGTCGGGGTTTATTCCCAGTGTATTGGGATGCTGGGAGTCGGGTGTGCGCTGGTGCTGATGGTGAGCCGCAGCTTTGGTCCCCTCGCTCTGCTAGTGGTGCTGAAGTGGACAGCGCTCAGAGCAGCTCCAGGAACAAAAACCCCAATTTAGGATTACCCGCCCTCACTGCTCCATAGCGCCCTCTGTCAGAGCGGAGGGGCGCTTACCGGCCTAAGGTGACATTGAGAAATTTTTTTAAATGTAGCTTTTCGACATATTTTGGCTGTTATTTTTAAATTCCTTTTCCTTGGAAAATTATATCCAGCTGAGTTGTTTCATCAGATAAAAAAAAAAAAATTAAATACACAGCGTTTTACAGTTATACGTACAACAGTTATACATTTGTGCAGGAAAATTTACAAACCCTCCCATTAAAGAAAATGATAAATTCACACCTGTAACTCAAGTAACACAAAACTGAAAACAATAATAAATAACGTTTTACTAAACTATTTTTTTTTTCAAATTCTAAAAACAAACTGTTCCAGACAAATGAAAGTACCTTGCTCATTAACAGTGGAGGAGGACATAGGAACCCATTTTTCATCATTTTACTTCATCCTATCTCTATTCTTCCACTCTGCAGAATCTGTTAGTTCAATCGCTAACATTATGCTCTCTCTGCTTTTTCTCATAGTAGCTTTGCCTTGTCTGTTCCTGTTTGCTGTGACTCCATCCTGGAGAGAAATATCAGCTGAACTGCTACCATCAAAACCGTTGTTTATGGATGTTTGGGATGGACCTGTTTTCCAGTGTAGTCCTGTTTCTCTGACTGTGTCTAACTGGATGTGCTCTCTTCCTCCTCTGACATGGGAGTTGGCTTGGAGCTCGTCTGTTTGGCTGTGTTTCCTGGACGGGGCCGCCTTTTACAGTTGCTTTTTGATCTCTGCTTCTGTCTCCTTGAACCCCAGTCGGCCTCGGCAGATGGCCGCTCACACTGAGCCTAGTTTTGCTGGAGGTTTCTTCCTGTTAAAGGGGAGTTTTTCCCTCTCCACTGTCTCTACAAGCATGCTTAGTGTGAGGGGTTGCATCAGAGTCAATGAGTCAATCAACTGGTTTTCCTTAGATAAAAAACTTTGAATCAATCTGACTGAATGATCTGGTGAATTGTAAAGTGCCTTGAGATGACATTTGTTGTGAATCGGCGCTATATGAATAAACAGAATTTACCTTTTTATATTCATTTGAGTAACAGAGTTTAACAGACTTTGGCAAACAGAAATCAAGATATTTTTCACAATCCTCAAAAGGAGAAGGCAGAAGCAAAAGGCTCCTTCTAAACAGTAGTAGTTCTAGATTGAATTCAAATTTGAAAAAAAATACTTTCTTTATCCCAACAGGAAATTAAATGTGGCAGTAACACATCGGTCTTTTTCTCTTCTTTTATTACAAGAGCTGTTGTTGGTGTAGATAGCTGTAGCCTTGAAGGATCTTCTGTATTGGTCTGTCTTGCACTGGATCTAGATCAGCCTCTTACTAAAGACACAGTGATTGTTTAACAATCTAAAGAGGATGCTCACTGTTAACCATATATATATATATTTTCAATTTTATGAAGAATTCTTCTTTATGAAATAATCTCCTGACATTCTGTAGGACTTCGTAGACCAGATCCAACCTCTTTTTCAGCTTGTTAAGCTTTTTTAAGTCATTTGCTTTGATGCAGTTACGCCGACAGAGAATGGCAGAAGTGATCAAACTCTCCACATCAGACATAGAAAATCTGTAGCATCTTGCTGCAAATGCTAATGAACCTAAGCTTCCGTTAGAAGTACAGTCTGCTCCATCCTTTCTTGTAAATGACTTCACTGTTGTGTCTCCAGCAGAGTTTGTTATCCAGATCAACATCAAGGTATTTATACCTACATTTCTTATGATGTTAAAATGATTTATCTTGTTCTTGTTTCGTCTGGAATCTACAACCATTTACCCTGTTTTGTTGATATTGAGTGTCAGATGATTGTTTCTATAGTATTTCATAAAACAGTTCACTCACTCCCCCAATTATTTAATTCAGTTTTAAAGATAACATTTAACAAAGAAGGCAGGGTGGGGCCAGCGTTAGAAAAGGTCAAAAGAATAACTAACACAGACAAATAACAACATGAGTGCATGGTATATTAAGTGAGCCATGAAGCTAAGGTTGCAAACTCCTGCTTTAACAGATGAAAACTATGATCCTATTTTAAAGCTGACTGTACTTTCTAAATAACAGTTAAAATACATTTACATTTACATTTACATTTACATTTAAATATTAAATTGGTTCAAGAGTGTGTTACTTTCTCTTCTGTTGTTGCAAATTATCATAAGAAATTGCTTTTGTATTACTCTGTTAACTGACCAGCCAAAGAAATTAGTATTTTGGTTATTAAATAAATAAAATAAGATTTCATTCACATGAAATAAAAACAAAGGAGTTGTGTTTTTCCTTACTTTAAACATAAATTAACCTATTTCATCCACAAAATGTATTATCTCCTTAAATCAGGGGAAAATACTCCAATGTTGAGAAAAATTGTCCTACTTATCATTAAGTTTTCAGTACAGGGGCCAAAACAGAGACCAGGAACAGGATCACTGGCTCTAGAACCCCCTATGCCTCTACCAAACGGTACAACAGTTATTGCAACATCCACAACATTCAGTCGCTTGGGCACAACCTAGTGGCAGTTTCATGTTTATCTCATTCAATAATTATTTCCTTTGGACATAAAACAATTGAGTAAATATAAATATCTCTTGAACTTGCTAAATGAGCTAAACTTGTACAGGCTGAATAGTCCTTTTTACATACAACTAAAAATCTTCCTTTTTATTTCTTGCGACATGTCATACATTTTGTGCATCCATTCTAAAAATATTTTTATCCTGTCAATGAAATGATCTATAGATGACATTTCTCAATTGAACCTTATTTCACACTGAAGAAAAGTGATGTGTGAACTATTAGTTTCAACCAATCACAAGCCTCTTCCTCACAGCCAATCACAGATGAACCACTTGAACCCCCACTTTACAAGTATGTATAAACCAATGGACAGGACCGACATGAGGCGCACTCTGTATCTAGAGAACTGGAGTACATGGAAGGTCAGGTGGTGGAAGAAGGATGTGGATGCATGAAGGAAGGGGAAAAAACTGGAGTAAAAGTGGAAGAAAAGGCTAACAACATAGAAAGATTTATAATGAGAATCAGGGCAACACTTGTAGATCATGTGGTAAATTCTGGGGCTGGTCGAAGGATGATGCCAAATTTTGAGAGAACCAATGTTACTTTCATTATTCAGACATGTTATAGGGAGAGTCATACAACATACTACAGTCATACAAGAAGCTTGCATTGGGACATGACCTTGTTTAACCTATTAATATATAACCTTTTACAGCTATACTAACAATTTTCTATATTTGTAGCTCCAAATTTGTGTGGCATAGTGTAGTGTCATAAAGAAAAGATGATATATAAACGACTCTACAAATTTAGCTTATTTATGTTTTTCCCCTGCATATTAGAAATGATTGCAAGGCGACCTAGAAGAGGTTTTGACTCCGCAGCAAGAGAAAAGCATTTTAGCAACCACCGCTGCAAGGCTGCAAGAAATACAAAAAGTTCTTCTGAAAAATGACAACTTCTTTAAAAATATTTATTCAATGTTAATTTTTACAACAGAGAGAGTCCTCAGATAGAATGAGATGTCCATCAAGTAATCATACAATGTACTAATTGAACAAAACTGCGAAGGAGCTCTGTCACCAGTGTGTACATGTAAAAGTAAAAGAAGAAATTCCATTAGAGGGATAGCTACCATTGGTGATCCAGGCCAAGGAGGGGGGGATTTTATAATCTGATAAAGTCTGTAGTAGTTTGGGTTAGTGTGAGCTTCCAGCATTCCGCTGTGGTTTGCAGCACATGACAGGATGCTTGTAAAGCATGGCTCTTTCAAGGTTTAATTCAACTTGAGGATTTTTTTCACTTTCCTTTCTTTCAACCACAAATTTAAAACATTTGAAATACAATGTATTCAGCCTCTCTTAGATGGCAACTTAGAGATCACCTTTAAATGTAAACACAACTGCTAGTGTTTTGGAGTAGCTTTGGATAGTTACAGATGTATTTATCTTTTACCTACTCTTCTTTGAGCAAACAGCTAAAGCTGTTCAGGGAGATTATTTTCAGAAATCAGACTAAAAGAGACGAAAAGATCGAAACCTAAAGGCAAATAAATAAATAATGAATAATAAAAAAAAATGGGAGAAATTTTTCATCAAATCATCCTAAAATGGAAAATAAATTCTAAGAGATATTAAAAACTGAAATGAGATAAATTAGATATTGTAGTGGAAAAAAGCTAAATCTATTTAATTGATGTGTTTTTTTTTTGGTTTTGTTTTTTTGGTTCATTTGTACCAATCAACATGTAAGATTCTTAAATATCTTCAAATATTTATTTCATCCCAAAAATTCTAAAAGTAGTTTTCATATGAATTTTTGATTAAAGGTGGAAAAAAACGTCAAACCAGCCCTCTGGTTGGGTGACAGTGCTGCTTACAGTTTTCCTGCTGGGATAACTGCATGTTTAGCTTAAGTCTATCTCCCTATCAACAATGATCAAATCCAATGTCCATATTTCACCACAAGGATGATGTGTTTTTGGTAATGTTTAAAGTTAGTTTTGCGCCCTTTTGGCATTAACACAGACAAAAAAACAAAAAAAAAACATTTTGGATCTCACCAGACCTTCTGACAGATATTTGTAACAATGCACTGGATAATCTTTTCATATGTACTTAGAACAGATTTAAATATTATGTTATCTAGTATAAAAGCCCCACGGATATTTTACCAGGCTGCTCAGTGGTGCAGTGGGTAGCACTGCTGCCATGCAGCAAGAAGGCTCTGGGTTCGATTTCTGACCCGGGGTCTTTCTGCATGTTCCTTGAGCATGCGTGGTGGGTTCTCTCTGGGTACTCCAGCTTCTGCCCACAGTCAAAAAACATGACTGTTAGGTTAATTGGCTTCTCCAAGTTGTCCTTAGGTTTGTATGTGCATGCAACCTGTCCAGGGTCTCTCCTCTCACCCGTAGACAGCTGGAGATGGATGGATGTTTTACCTCTATTCTTTATTGCTCTCTGCTGATCTCTTGTGGTTGTTTTAAGTACTGTCTTTGCCTCTTTTAGAGAGAATAAATTGAGTGACTGAGCTGCTACCAACTCTTTTTTTGTGAATCCTACCATTAGTAATTTGCTGGTTTATTCTTTCAGGAAGAGAAAGTTATACTGAAACATTTAAGTAGCAGAACTTTTGAGTGTTTGTTGTGTTATATTCTTTTGTCATTGAGGTTACACCTTTAATATATATCCAAGAACCTTAAATTTGTTTTTAAGGTTTTCCTTCGATAGAAAACTTTGAATCAATCTGACTGTATGATCTGGTGAACTGTAAAGTGCCTTCAGATGACATGTGTTGTGAATTGGGGGTTTATGAATAGACTGAATTGAACTGAATTATAATCAATCAATCCATGTGCAAGATGTTATTGTGATACTCTTCTTTTATTGACGAAGGTTCATGATCCAATTAATTCAATTAATCCACAGATAAAACAAACTCAAAATTCCTCAAGTGATTCTCAGAACAATTAATATCTTTTACAGGCTTTTGCAGAAAATCTTTTTAAAAAATTGTTTTTTTATCTGTCCCTTTATGATGCATCATTCTAAACCCCATCCATGCATCTTCTTGATGTCTAGAAATCATACTTAGTCACTTAAACAATGCAAACAAATTACACCTAAAAAAAATAGCTATAGATTCCGGTGTTCTTAAATGTTCTGTACTACAAATAAATACAAAGAATGAAGGTGACAACACAGTTTATTTTCCTTCCCTTTTACTATGTCTTATGATCATTGTCAATCACATCCACAAACAGCATATTGCAAATTAACAAAAAAGTTGCAACATTTGAGCAACAAATCTTAACCAACCTTGGTGAAGGAAAGGCTGTTGTGCACTTTTCTATCCCCAAATAATATGAATTAAATTCCCTATTAAAATATATAGATGTGACAAAACAAACAAACACAGGAAAACACAGAGAAACAAATCAGGAACAGATGAACTGTTACCAAGGAAAAAAGAAAAATAAACTAATCAGGAACTTATTTGTAGTTGCCAAGGAAACAAAGATTAGCTAACCTGGAGCTAATTCCTACCAAAAAAGGAACTAAAGTGTAGTTGACCAACACTTATTATGGGACTGCTGGTTCATTACCACAAAATTAGAGTAAAAATTCTTAGTGTTGGGCCTTAATAAATCCTAAACCTCTGAAGTCACAGCATAAAATAAGACTTTAATAGCTATCAAATTATTGCCTAGCTATTAATTTATGTACTTCGTTGAGTCAAACATCATGTTAGGTTGTTACTAAGGAACTAATGATTACCCATTCAGTACTTGACCATTATCTGATGTTTCTGTGTGCCCTGAAGTAAACTAAGACTATCCATTCCTACTTACATAAGTACTCTATGATTCCCAGGTAACTAAGCAGTAGTCCCATAATAAGGCTGGACTGGGTGTTCCCAGCAAGTACGGTACTAGTTACCTTTCCATTAGCTTTCTTATAGGAATTATATATTATTTATTTTTGTTT